ATTTCAAAAGGCAGCGCGGGATGACAAAGTAAAATATTACAATGAAATGTGCAAGGAGCTGGAGTCAGAAAATAAAAAGGGCTGAACTCACTCAGCATTTCTTAAGCTCAAGGAACTGAAGAACAAATTCAAACCCTGAGTTGCTATAATCAAGGATGCTTTGTTGTTGTTGTTATGTGCCATTGAGTCGCTTGCGACTCATAGCTACCCTATGTACAAGAGCTCTATATGCTTTTCTATCCTGTGCCAACCTACCCATCTCAAACGTACTTATTCCCACCTCTCGAGTCACAGAATTGATCCATCTCATCAAAGGTCTTCCTCTCTTTCGCCACCCCTCCACTCTGCCAAACATGATGTCCCTCTCCAAGGACCAGTCCCTCCTTGCAACATGCCCAAAGTATGTTAGACGAAGCTTCAGAATCCTTGACTCCAGGGAACATTCTGGCTTCACCTTCTCCAGGACAAACCTGTTTGTTCTCCTAGCAGTATATGGTATATTCAACACTCTACTCAAGCACCACAGCTCAAAGGCATCAATTCTCTTCCTATCTACCCTAGTCACTGTCCAACTCTCTGATGCATAGCGTGTAATTGCGAAGACTATAACCCGGAGCAGGCGCACCTTAGTCTCCAGTCTGACATCGTTGCTCTTCAGTACTCTTGAGAGGTCCCACAGAGCTGAATTTCCCAATGCAATTCATCTCTTGATTTCCTGGCTGCTGTTACCAAGAGTGTTGACCATGGAGCCAAGTAAACTAAAAGTGTTAACTATCTCAATCTCTTCACCATCCATGCTGATGCTGCCAATTGGCCCAGTGGTTAGAATCTTTGTTTTCTTGACTTTGAGCTTCAGTGCATATAGGAGGCTGTAGTCCTTGATCTTCTGCAGCAAGCGCCTCAGGTCCTCCTCAGTTTCAGCAAGCAGAGTTGTGTCATCTGCATAATGCAGGTTGTTGACGATTCTTCCACCAATCCTGATGCAACATTCCTCTTCGTATAGCCCAGCGTCTCGGATGATCTATGCTGCATACAGATTGAAAAAGTATGGAGACAGAACACACCCCTGAGGAACCCCCTTCTTGATTTTGAACCATGTAATGTTTTCTCGCTCTGTTCTGACAACTGCCTCTTGGTCCCAGTATAAGTTTCCCATTTAGGCAGAATATTAAATGATCCAAGAAATATTAAAAGAAGATGTTAAGAATATACTGAGTCACTGTATTGAAAGGAATTGGTAGACACAGAAGAATTTAATGAAACAATATATGAGCAAATGCCTATGGTGATGAAGGAAGTAGCTTTGAAGGAAATAGCAAAAAATAAGGCCCCAGGAATAGATGGTACACCAATTGACATATTTCAACTAACAGATGCTGCCCTGGACGTGCTCACCAAGTTGTGCCAAGAAATCTGGAGAACAACCACTGTAAGAACAATATCATTGATATCACATGCAAACAAGATTCTACTGAAGATTATCCCAAAATGACTGGAATAGCAGAGAACTACCAGAAGTCCAGGCTGGGTTTAGAAAGGGTCGTGGCACTAGGGATATTGTAGCTAATGTTAGATGGATCTTAGCTGAGAGCAGGGAATACCAGAGGAATGTCTATCTGTGCTTCATTGATTATGCAAAGGTTTTTGACTGTGTGGACCATAACAAACTGTGTCTGACTCTGAGAAGAATGGGAATCCCAGAACACTTGATCATGCTAATGCAAAAACTATACTTGGACCAAGAGGCAGTCGTCAGAGCAGAACAAGGAAACACTGCATGGTTCAAAATTGGGAAGGGTGTATGCCAGGGATGTGTCCTGTCTCCATACCTTTTCAACTTGTATGCTGAACAGATTATACAGGAGGCTGGACTCTATGAGGAGAAATGTGGCATCATTGGATTGGTGGAAGATCTATCAACAATCTGCGATATGCAGATGACACATCCCTGCTTGCTGAAACTGAGGAGAGCCTGAAGTGCTTGCTGCAGAGGGTCAAGGACAGCAACATTCAATATGGATTGAGGCTCAATATCAAGAAGACAAAGATTCTCACCGCTGGACCAATTGGCAGCATCAGGATGGATGGTGAAGAGATTGAGATAGTTCACAGTTTTAGTTTGCTTGGCTCCACAGTCAACACTCTTGGCACCAGCAGCCAGGAAATTAAAAGACATATTGAGATGGGAAAGTCTGCTGTTAGGGACCTCTCAAGAGTACTGAAGATTAAGGTGTGTCTGATACAGGCCGTGGTCTTTGCAATCGCTTGTTATGCATCAGAGAACGGGACCATGACTAGGGAGGATAGAAGGAGAATTGATGCCTTTGAGCTGTGGTGCTGGAGAAGAGTATTGAGTGTACCATGGACTGCTAAGAAAATAAGCAGATTCATCCTGGAGAGGGTTAAACCAGGCTGCTCCTTGAAGGCAAGGATTCTGAGGCTTCGTCTGGCATAATTTGGACATGTTGTAAGGAGAGACCGGTCCTTGGAGAGGGACATCATGCTTGCCGGGGTGCAGGGACAGCACAGGAGAGGAAGACCCTCTATGAGGTGGATTGATTCAGTGATTGGGGTAATCGGGATGGGTGTATGGGAGACAGTGCGACTGGCAAGGGACAGAGCAGAATTTAGGGCCATTGTACATAGGGTCGCTATGAGTTGCAAGCAACTCGTTGGCATATAACAACGTTGGCCTGTGACGGTCCTTTAATTAGTCCAACTGTGGGACACATTTTAGGATAGAAAACATTAGTATGTTTTCGATATGTGGATAGTGCCTGCTGGAGAATCATACAGAATAGAAGGTATCTTAGAGAATATTAGCCAAACGGCCTTTATTCCTAAAATGAGGCCACTGAGGCAATGGGTAGAAGCGACTTGTTCGAGATCATTCAGCACCAGGTACAAGAAGACTTCCTCTTTCCCGTTGCAAGACTTTAATTTTGTACTCTTATTACATGACTGGCTCAAACATGGTACAGTAGTTGACCATGTATATTATATTTATACAGGATCCTGAATGGTATGGGAGGAAATCACATAGCAACTTCCAGATTTGCCATCAAATACAGTAGTTGATTTTGATACACATTCTTACTGATCAAAGCCAGAAGTCAGCTCTCTCTGATAATGTAGGAATATTTGTATGCCTGATATGCTGTCGTTTAAGAGGCAGGACACGTGTGAGCATTGCCCCTTTGGTAGGCTCTTGGGGGCACAGAGAGTTGTCCTGTTTGCATTACTCCAGCTCCACCCCTCCTCTGTGCCTAAGAATGCTAGTGTGTAAGTTCGTGCTTGTGGCTGTCATAAGCACACACTTGTGTCCGAGCAAGCCTGTAGCCTTGGAAGGATTGTGCTCTGCAGTCTGGAGGTGAGACACAAAATGTTATATGCATGTCTTGACCTGGGACACACCAAGAGCCAAGGTATAGATTTAAAAACACAAAGCAAGGGGAGCTCTGGTGGCCTAGTGGCGAGGAGCTGCAACTACAATCCCAGAGGTGCATGGTTCAAATCCACCAGATGCTCTGCTGGGGAAGGAGGGACAATCTCCTCCTGTACCAGTCAGATATTATTTAATGGTACACTCACACAAAAATAATAAAATAAAAAAATTTAAAAAAAACACACAAAGCAAAACAAACAACTGAAAGCTATTTTTTAGAAATGGATTTTTATATCCTGACACATTTATTATTTGTAATGGCATGTATGTTATTAAAGAAATTTTCCAGTCAGATGTTTTGAAGTCCGAGTGGGGTGTGTGTGTGTGTGCATGAACGTGTACGTATGTGGATGCACATTTAGCGTTTGTGTTTGTATGTGACTGACATCATTGCATAACAGATGCCCTATTTCCTTGTTTAGCAAGGGCCTATTAGGATTGGCTTTCTCTGTGTCCCTCAGGATTGTCCCTGATAAGCTAGTTCCATATGGTTTGATTTGAGAAATGCTAAGAAGGGTCATGTGTCGTAGGCCTGTCTCCAGCAGAGACCAGGCCTTTAGAGGCCTTTTGTTTGAGAGAGTAGCTGCGAGTGAGGGCTTCTGTAAGAGACATGGGATCTGAAGTATTAAAACCTACAGTCCAAAATAGCCGAGTTTGATGTCCTTTTTTTCCTCTTGAAAAAAAAAAGTTATCCCTGCTCCTGGATCAGAGGGAGAAGTGAACTTTGAATTTTTTTGGCTCTTGTAGAGTTCATTAGAAATTAACAAGCTAGCATATAAGATGCAGGACAAACTAAACCTTTAAACAATGCATGGATGCTCTACCATATGGAATACTTATTGTTGTGCCCAGTATTTTACAGTTGGTTGGCAGAGCACCTGGTAAGTTAAGTATTCTTATGTGCCGTTTTTCGATGAGGAAATTGAGGGTCAGAAACTGGCCTGTGTTTGAACAGCCAGAAAATGCACCACGTTGGGATTTGAATCCAGCTCAGCATGACTCAAGCACCTACTTATGTAACCACTCCACTGAATTCTCTCTGACTCCCGGCTTCATAAAGTGGGATAATAGTACCTACTTCCAAGTTACTTTAAGCATTCCAGAAGATAAAAGACTCTGAAGCTGTAGTGGTGCTCCGCTGAGTGGAAGGCAGCATAGTAGGCATGAGGAGACAGCGTCTGATACAGTGTCTTCGTATGACTGTCTAGGCTTCACGGGAAGCCCGGATGGGATGTCCTTTTGCCCTTGGTTTTCTGGCGAATGAGAGCAGTTTTGTGCCCTGGCTGGCAACTTTGGGAAATACATCACTGGTTCGGTTGAGGCGAGGATGTTTTCAAGAACATGATTTCTTTGCCCAATAACTGAGAAGAACCAAGAGGAGCTCAGCAGTGTGTCTGTTGTAGATGTAGTTCTGTCTACAGAGCCCCGGAGCTCTTCTTGGCGCATGTGCAGTAGGTTTATAGGTGTGCTTTCACGTGAATGCCATCATTCTCTTTCTTGTCTTTCCATAGAAAATGACCTGCAGTCCCACATAAAGGACATCAGTCATTTCTTGATGCAAAACATCGCCTTCCTGTCTGGTAAGCAACCTTCCACATGTCCTTATTTGTGATGAATGCCTCCCTCAATTACTAAAGTTGGTTGGGTCTGTCTCATAGAAGTAACATTATACAAATATGCATATTGTAAATGTGATATTACTCTCCTCTGGTTTTGCCTCTGGTTAGATACTTGAGGAAAGTTCTACTTAAAGACAGGCACCTTGCTTTTCAGGTATTAGTGCAGTGTGAATCATACAATTTGAATAAATATTATATTTAACCTAGAAGAAAAAAAATTCCTAGTATATCTATTGTTTATGTGAAAAATGACTGTTTCATAGGTGTTGAGAGGATGTGAGATTATCTTATTCTTTTCAAGCAGTGTAATTATTTTGCCTGAAATAACACCTGCATGCTCAGTTTACTTAACAAACTATTTATTTTGTAAATGATCGTAATTGGATACTTCAATTTGGCCTCTACTTTAATGACTATAATTAGTGGTAATTTAGAGTTACTGCTGACATAAATAGTGTGGTTTGGTTATATGTCTTCTTTTATAGGTGGTATGAATGTGTGACATACTGTTGTAGTATAATTAGATGTGTACTAGGTTTGCTTTCAGGATTTGGAAACTTTTCCATAAGCTTATCAGTGCTTTCCAAATTGTGTCCCGAAGAGAAAGGTCCTCCGGTGCCTGGTGCCTCTGTTTTTTCCAAAGCTGTTTTTAAGAGTGGATAGATAATGAATACTGCATTGGAGCAGAGGAGGGGAAGAACTGGCTGGAAGGACTAGGTATTATGACAACAATCTGGAACAAGAGGTGCACTGCAGAGTGGACTGGAGGAAGGGAGAGGAAGAGAGGAAAATGTGCAACAATGAATGAACTTTTTTAAAAAACGTGCTTCTGTCTATCATTTAATTTGAAGGAAGAGTTCCCAGTGGGGGAGAATTAATCTAAACTCCCCATTTTAGCATAGATGCATCTCTGTTTTTAATTGGTTTGCATGCAATCATTCATATACTTTAAGCTTCTTTCATTTATATTGTGTTTTATACAATTATTCACACTTATCTAACCATTGTTTTATTTATGTAGATTTTACTTTATTCAATCATTTCTATACAGAATGTTTTAGATAATTAATTACTACTGTGCTATGATTTAATCTGTCACCTCGCTTATTCCTTCACACCTTCATCCACTCACTAATCTCTGCTGTTTTAGTGATTTCCTCTCCCTTCTTCTGTATCCTTTCCTCCCCAGCCCTTTCCCATTTCCAACAGTTAGACATAATCTTGTTCTGATTTGCTAATTGCAATAGGAATGCTTTCCTTATCTTGCTCCTTCCCAAGTTGATCCTCCTTTGTAGTGTTCATTGTCCATATATTCTATTTCTGCCCCCTTCCCCAAACCCTCAGTTACCACTCTCTTTACACAGCAGCAGTCTTATGCAGTATCGATCCTTTCATGACTGAGTTATTTCATGCAACATACTACCCTCTAAAGTCTTCCATGTTGTATCCTATTTTATGAGGACTTCCTTATTCTTTAGTGCTGCATACTCTTCTATTGTGTGAATATACTACTGTTCCCCTACCCATTCATTTGTTGATGGGCATTTAGGCTCTTTCCATTTTTTTGCTATTGTTAATAACACTGCCATGAGCATTTTTTCTCTTCACAAATGTATTTCCTCTAGTACTTTAGGTGCCCAGTAATTACAACAGTTTCTTTTTTAAAAAATTTCATTTTATTATTTTTTGTGTGTGTACCATCAAATGGGATCTGACTGGTACAGGAGGAGATTGCCCCTCCTTCTCCAGCAGAGCATCTGGTGGATTTGAACCATGTGCCTCTGGGATGGCAGTACAGCTTCTTGCCACTAGGCCACCAGAGCTCCCTACCCTTTCTTTTGATAGGTAAGGTAGTCTGAAAGTTCGAAAGCATTCATTAGTTAGAGCACTCACAAGTTTTTCTCATATGGAAAAGTGTGTATAGTGTGTAATGTGACATACATGTCACCTTATATGTTTACTATTATGTGCACACAATACCCTACCTATAGAGGCCCTTTGTGTGGCTGTATATACACTTTCTCCTTTTGAGTTGCCAAATTCTTGACCCTGCTCTTTAAATTTAGAATGTTAGATTTACCATCAGAGAAGATTTACCTTCACTTTATTTATTTAATATTTTGGACCAGTTAGCATTGGAAGATAATATGGAAATGGGGTCTCCCTCTTAAGTTTTCCTTGGCAAAGATTAAGGCAAAGAATAGTTTCATATTTTTTCCACAGGTACTGGGAAATCTGGTAGCTTAATGGTAAGGGGTTGTGCTGTCAATGTAAAGGCACGTGGTTTGAAGCCATCAACTGCTCTGTGGAAGATGAGTAGTCTCCTCCTCTGAAATGTACAGCCTCTGATAACTCACTATGAGTCAGTTCTGACTTGATGGTAAACAACAATCACCGTATAGACTAGGGAAGAATATGTATTTTGCTTTTGTTGAGTAGAGAGTTCTATAAATACCAATTAGGTCAGGTTGGTTAATGACGTTGCTCAAGGCTACTATATTCTAGCTACTTGCTTTATCAGTTATTGAGAGAGAAGTGATGAAGTCTCTGGCTTGTTGGTTTGATTCTTTTTTCATGCAATTTTATCAGCTTTTGTTCCATATATTTTTCAGCTTTGTTACTAGAGTCATAGATATGCAGGATTGTTATATTCCTTAATGAATCGATCCTTTTATAATTATTAAATGATTTTAATATCTAGTTACATTTTTTGGCTCTGAATCTGCCTTTTCTGATATTAACATAGCCACCACATTTTCTTTTATTAGCAACAGTGCTATATCTTTCCAGTTTTACTTTTAACATATTTAAAATACGTTTTTTAAAAAAGTACATTTCTTGTAGGAAGCACATATTTGGATTTACTTTTTATCCTGTTTTAGATTCACTACTTTTTAATTAGGGTGTTTAGACCATTACCATTTAATGTAATTACTCATTTGTTTGAGTTTAATTCAACCACCTTATCATTTTGTCTCAGTTATCCCTTGTTTTTTTCTCCTTTTCTTGGGTGAATTTTTTTCTTTTTAAAAAATTTTTATTATTAAATTTTATTAGTTTTAATGAACCTTTACAGAGATTTTGTGTTTTCATTCATTCATTGTTGCACTGTTTTCTCCACCCTCTTCCCCAGTTCGTTCTTCTTCCCCCCACAATGTCTGTTTTAATTATCCAATTGCCACAGTGCTTGTCAAAGCCAGTTCTGATTAATCTCCTTTGTCAGTGTGTCCTTTGCCATTCCCTATCTCTCCTCCCTGAGAGAGACTTCACCCTGATTCATAAGGAAAAGGGGATGGCGTATTCTCTTAGCTACTTCCTGCTGAAAAGGTTCGCTGTGGGTTTCAGGGTGAAGGTCTTCTCTCACTACTCTAAAGGGCCCCCTTGGCAGTAGGAAGCACATAGACTATTATGGAGACTGATTTTGGAATTTTTTCTTGTCATCCCATTTTGTTTTCTTTACCATTGCCATTTTTACACAGTAAATTTATTCCCACAGAAAAGTTTTCCTTTTTATTAAAGTTCCATTATTGTTATTATTGTCTATGCTGTTTCTTTCATGAATCCACTAGAGCAGCACTGTCTCCTTCTACAGTATATATATTTGTATACATATTTCTTTTATATTGGTTTGCATACAGATTTTGTTACATTGTATTTTAGTCCTGTACATTGTGTTTCACACATTCTTTCATTCACATTGTCCTTTTTCTATAGTTTTTAGCATGCATCCTTTCATTGTTCACCATGACTGTGCGAGGCACACATTTGCTTTCAATCTGTCAATTATTCATTTTAATTTAGGATTATAACATTGGTATCGCTCATTCACTTATTGCTGTTGAATTGGAACTGACCCATAGCTGACCCTCCAGCAGGTTTTCAGAGACTGTGAATTGAATGTGAGGAGATTGCCCATCTTTCTGTTATAGAGAATTTTGTGGTTTCCAAAGACCTGATTTTGGGTTGGCAGTATAACTCCTTATGGACTTCCTTAATGTTAGTATTGAAACAGTTATTTTTCAATCACTTTGATCTTTTAATTTGGGAAATCAACTGTTTTTTTCAATATCATTTATTGCATGTACTCTGGAATTTTCTTCATACCATATTCATTCATTTTACCTTTTCTTTTTCTTTAGAAACCACTGTGCTACTTTTCAAAAATTTTATTTCTGGGTTGATTTTTTTCATTGTTTTTTATACAGTCATTTCCATACTTTGTGTCTTAGAAAATTCATCACCATTGATCTATGTCCACTATTACCCCATCTTTTCAGATCTCCACTAAATCTTTCCCAATTCCTTTACCCCCTTCCTCCACCCTCCAAACTCTGCGACCTCATGATTTCCTCACCCACTCCAGCCACCTGCCCTCTCCTCTCCCCTCTTTGGATATCAATACATATCTTACTAGTTATCCTCCTATTTTCACAATAATGATCTTATGCAGTATTTGTCCTTATCATACTGAGTTAGTTTACTCAGCATAATGTTCTCTAAACTCTTTTAAAATGTAACATTTCAGGAACTTTTTGCCATTTGGGTTTACATGGAGATTATTATCCTTATGAGAAGTGTGCATGTCCCAAACAATCTTCTAACAACTTCTCTAAATCTAAAATCCTGTTTCTTGCAGCATTACCATATAAATGGCTAACTTTGTGATTTTGTTATATTGCTTCAGGTGGCCGGGGTAAGGACAATGCTTGGATAATTACTTTTCCAGAAAATTGTAATTTCAGATGCATACCAGAAGATATAATTGCAAAAGTGTTGACTTTCTTGACATCTATTGCAAAGTAAGCATTTCATTACATTTCTCACAAATTAGTTTTATAGCACTTAACCATTTGAATGCAATAACTAGAAGATGAATTATTAGTATGGTTGTTATTTTTATTATAAATAAGCAGTAGATCTACATTCAGGTATGATAAGAAATAGAACTTAGAAGGGGAAACTGAGAGCTACCTAAGTTCTCTAAAAATTATCCTAAGGGTTTATGGAAAAGTTAATGCTCTAGCAGTATTTGTCCCTATGAAGTACATAGAGGTTGGCATAAAGCCTTAGATTTGCCTAAAAGGAAATCTTAAGTGGCCAAAAGGAAGGGACAGCCTCAGGCTAAAGCAAGAAGAAAGCTGTGTTGAAAGATAGAGGAAATTTTTGATATTAAGAAACCATTTGACACTGGCATATTTTGAAAGGAAAATTTTCAGAAGCTTCTGTAGAAAGTTTATGTATGTTGAAAATAAACTTTTTAAAGGACGCATTTTCTAGTTTCTAACCTTGAACACTCATAGAGTCACTGTGAGTTGTACTCGTTTTGATGGCACCTAGCAACAACAACAACAATCCTGAACACTAAGGGGACACAAATATAGGATGGTAAAATTGTGGAATTGGGAACAGAAGTTAAAGCCCAGAGCACAAAGTCTACAATGCATATATTGAAGCTTGTAAGTAGCCTTTTTAGGACAAATAAAAGTCTTCTTATCCATTCAGTTATATTCTTTCAAGGTGCAAACTAGAGGCAGGAATGTGTGTGTGTGTGTGTGTGTGTGTCTCAGGGTTTCTCACACCCAAGATTGCAGTCTTCCAAATCCAGTCTGATTTCACTTTCCTAAGTAAATGAGTGCCATTCATTCAGAAAAACAGACTTTTAATACGTAGGAAGGGAATGTGGAATCAAAGTAGCACTTTGTGATTGCTTTCCAGATCCAAATCTACTTTTGGTGATGACATAAAATATAAAGAAAATAATGTTAAGGAATATAACATTTAGGGGGCTCTGGTGGTGTGTTGCATTGCTAACTGTTAAGTTCACAGTTCAAATCTACCAGCTGCTCCAAGGGAGAAAGATGGGTAGTCTTCTCCCATAAAGATTTAAAATAAAAAAAACCAACCAACCAAACAAACAAACCCAAAACCAACCTTCATTGCTTTCAAGTTGGAAATTGCTGTTGAAATTGTAAATCACACAGGAGGAGGTTTTCCATCTTTCTCCTCAGAGCCTCTTGATGGATTTGAACTGCCAGAGAGGCCCTGCTTTATAACTCCTTGTGTAGCACCAGAGTCTCAGAAATGATGGAGGGTTACCAGGAGTCAGAATGACTTTACTTAGCAAATTCATTTTATTATTCTTGTTGTGTACTGCGAAACTGACTCACAGCTAGCCCTCAGCAGGTTTTCAGAGGCAGTAAATAGCATTAAGAAACACTTATTATTTCCTCTTATCATCTTATAGGAAAAATGGATCTGACTCCCGGTTTACCATTATTCTGGATCGAAGATCAGATACATGGTCTTCTCTCAAAGCTTCTCTACAAAGAATCTCAGTAAGTCCTTACACATTCTCTTTTTTAAAACACCACCACCACCATCACAAAAAACAAAACCACATAACTCATTGCTAATGACTCAGAACCGACTCCTAGTTGACTTTCTGGTGGGTTTTCAGAGGCTTTTACAGGAGGAGAATGCCCATCTTTCGCCCGAGAAGCAGCTTGGTGGATTCAAACTGTGCATTTTGGTCAACAACGCATTTGGTTCCTTACCCTTTATGCTTATTTTCATTTCATATTACACTTTCTATTAGTGCCACACTCAGAAAGCTCATGTGTTACTTCTGGAGACAATAAAAATTGGTGGGATAATGGGATGGCAAAATAGGATAGATAGTTGGTAGAGGAGATTGAGCTAAACAATGTCACTTAAAATAAAGCCTAGTGAGAAGCAGATGTACTTAATATCGTCATATCGCTGAAGTAGATAGATACATACACTTAATAAAGCGTATGTGTCAGATCGAGGGTCATACAGCTAAGTAATAATAATAGCCAGAGGGAGGAATGAAATTTCATTACTTCGGATGATGCCTGTTCCATTTGCTGCCTTCTGTTGTTTTCCAAATGACTTGTGCATAGGCAAAAGAGATTAAGTGTCTTGTCTTAGAAAAAGGTGAACTTGCTTTGGAGAGAGCAAATCTGCACTCTATACACTGTTGAGCCCCATCAGTGCAGCTAGGAGAAGTCAACGCTTCATCGATCCTACCCCCGCCTTTTAGGATCATTCCTTGGGTTGGTGAGCAGACTTCATTTGGTGCCAATAATTGATTCCTTTTGGACTAAACACAGCATTTGTTACAAGAAAACATTTCTTATTGCCCAGACTTTCTGTTTTGGCCAACCCTGTGTCTGCTGGATTGAATTAATTTTCATTGAGTGCCCACTTGGCACATGCCATCAGTTTCTTGGTAGAGTTTTATTTTTATTAATCAAGTAGATGGCTTGGAACGGAAGTAATCTTTTTCATAAAAAACAAGTAAGTTCTTAATCCTATAAACTTGGAGTCAACAGAGGATGGGTTTGACCCTGTCTTGGGGAATGAAAATGACCCTTTCCTCATGGTGCTGTTCTGTCAGTGGGTATGAGCAGTGCTTAGTAAAGAGCTAAAAGTTTAGGTTCCCTTTCTTCTCATAACTGCCATGGAGTTGGAGAGAGTGGGGTACAAAGTGCTGATGACCTGTAACCATCTATAAGCTGCTTAGGGTGTTGTTCGTGTTTAAAACTGTCAATGTTTCTGCTTGTGGTATAGATTCTATACCTATGCTCAAGAGCACATCAATGACTGCAGGCACTGCTAGATATCATAGGCACTGCCTACAATACTAGTATGTATGGAATATAAGTTACTTCTAATAGCCAAGGTTGTCACTTAGAATAGATTCAAGGAGAGAATTGTCATTATATTGATAGGGATGACTGCAACCAGGGTGCTTTTTTAGAGGCATTTTTAAATGGTGAAAGTTGGTATCACATACTCGTGGCATGCTGTCAGGAGGGGAGGTCATCCTTCATGGCAAGGTGAAGGAGGGTCAGTGTGAGGGAGGAAGACCTTCAACAAGGTGCATTGACACACTGAGTGGAACAATGGGTTCAAGTACATGCGGTGATGGGGATGGCACAGGATAGGGTCACTAAAAGTCATGGTTGGCTTGATGACACCTACTATCTGTTAACTAATATGATTCTGATTAAAGACTTTAATATATGTATCTCAAAGTAAGATTTTGCAGTTCAGTTATATTTTGTAATGAAAGGAGATATTTATTCATTTTTAGTTATGGCTTTGGAGAAATGTTCTTTTGGTGGAGAATGTTATCTATCCTTCTTAGAAAGTTGGCATGTTATATTCTTTCTAAATTATCATGAAGACAAAATGTCACCAATTGTGACTTTTACCAACTTTCTAAGGAAAGTTTTGTTGTTGTTTTTTTTTTTAATTTCAAAAAACAGAATCAGATCATGAGAGCTCCCATCTGAAAGCTACCCAAATGCCGACCGGTATCAGAAAAGTGATTCAGTCCATAGGCAGTCAACCCCAATACTAAGGCTCTCTCTGGTGGCTGGAATCCACCAGTGGCTCTGCAAAAACAAACAAACAACAAACAGAACAAAGCGGAAAAGCATGCACAATCTCCTCCATTGTGATCTACAGCCTCTGATCCTCAGTGCAAGTTCACTTCCTTCTCATTGGCAATGAAAACATCCTATCACCACTATTTGGAATAGTCTGCAAATTGGAAACACTGCCAATGCATTAGTAGCAGAATAGAGAAATGCTTTGGGATATATTCACACGGTCGGTTACTGAGCAGCAGTAAAAAGAAGCTACCTACAGCTCCATGCAATAGTGTGAATGTACCTCACAAAAGATGCCAGATCCCAAGGTGTTCCCCTGGAGATTCAGATTGTATGGAGAAGAGAAGCGGGTTAGCAGTCAGGAAGATGGTTACCCTTGGAGAGGGACACAAGTGTGTCCCCAGCATCAAGCTGTTCACTTTTTTGGTTGAAGTAGTATGTTGTCACCAGATGCCTCTGAGGCACTTTGGACTCAAAGCTGCCATCTGTACAACAGAAGGAAACACTGCCTGGGCCTGCCCCATGCTCACAATCTAGGCTCTGCTTAAGCCTGCTGTTGAGACCATTGTGTCTTCCTATCTCCTTGAAGGTCTTACGGTTTTCTGCAGACGCTCTGCTTACTGATCTTCATGTCCTTCTCCAGGAATTGGTGCTTCCTGATAACAGGCCTAAAGTTAAAAAAAAAAAAAAAAGGACGGGGGGTTTAAGAAGTGAAGAAGGAAGGAAACCTAGAATTTAAATTAAGTCCTATTGGAGTAAAGGGGAAAAGAGTCCAAAGTGTTGGCTAAGTACTACCTTCACAAAGATTCTTAGCATTCCACCTTAAAAATCAAACTGCGCTGCTGAGAAGTGAGCCAGCCCTGCCAGCGCTGCTCAGAGCTCCTGGAGGGGAGTCTCTTTCTGCCTCCACTCTCAGGATCTTCTTGTACAGTCTAGCACATGCTAATCCAGGCTAAGTTACTGGGGGCATGTGTCAACTCTGAATTACCAAGAGCAGCAGGGAAGAAGCTGTCAACCTGTCAGCTGACTAATCAGGGACAGTGGTGCGGTGGTTTGGTTTTTTTTGTGTTCTTCCCCCCCCCCCCACTGCTGCCACTGTGGGGATGGAAGCTGCTACAGTAGCTTTTTGGATAGAGGGTTTTGGCTGCTATTTCTTAAATCCTACCCAAGAAGCAGCACCCATTTCATCTATGTTCCATTGACAATTGGACAAGAAGATTGTCACTGTTGTCTAGGCGAGATGGCAGAAGCAAATCCCCCGAGAAGCAGGATGAGGTTCAGAAGGAATGCGGTAAGCGCTCTCTGCCTGCAGTCCTGGAAAGGCTGCTTCTGAATCCCAGCGCAGAGATGCTGCAGCATGGTGCTATAGCACAAGGTGCCGAGCGGGGCTTGGAAGGACAGATAGTGAGAATGGAGACTTGAATTTGCATGAATCACACTGATACAAGAACTGTGATGTTGACATTAGGGAATTGATAGGAGGTGGGATATAATTTTGACATTGAAATGGCATCAGGTTGATGAGGAAGCATTGCTACTGGTGCGGTTTGTTTAAGACTATGAGTGATTTTGAATCCTTCAGCAATAAAGCTTTAAATCTCCTCCAGCCCGCATTATATCTTACAAAGAGAGCCATCCTTCCCCTCATCGCGGTCAAGGAGAGGACGGTACATGTCACAACCAGGTCTGGAGACCATCTCATCAACATCGGCAAAGGCCATGCTTCTTGGGTTTACTAGGCAAATACATTTTTTCTTTAAAAGTAATCACTTGAAATCTCTGTGGTGGGTCCAATTCTTCAAATTCAAACTTTTTTTTAAAAAAATGAAGTATTCTAGCTTGTTGACTGCTTTTTTTTTTTAGTGAGAAAAGTGGTAACTTTTCAGTAGAGGCTACACTAGAATTATAAATTTCTTCTTTTGTATAGATTAAAAGCATTATACCTTATTTCTCCCTTCGACAGTTTATCTTAAGTTCAAAATTTTTCACCAGATTTCTAAAGTGATCTGTAGAAGTAGTTTGAGGAAAGATAAAATAACACTACAAAATAAAATAACAGTTATTAATCAACAAAGCTTTACGTGCTGCTTTTTTTCATTAAAAACTCAAGGTAGTGCTATTGATTTTATGTATTATATATAAAATGTAATAATTGCTTGTGAAAGAAATATAGACAGCACAAAGAAGTATAAAATAAATAAAATAAATCATATTAATCTTAAGGAAAATAACCCATTAGAATTTTATTCTAGTTTAATGGTAGTGAACTTCAATTGGTGAGTAAATGATTCATATTCCAAGAAAGTTCTCAGAATGATATTTGTAAAATTATAGTTGGAATAGAATTTCTTAAAACATTTGATGAAATTATCTCTTCAGCGCTACATATAATTTTATATTATAAGAATAACAGCTTCATACTACGAACAGACAATTTATGGTGCACCAGGGACAATTTATCTTACACAAGAAATGCCTCGGTATGTACTTTGCAGTGTCATGTGCAACTGACATTAACACTTCTGTTACCAAAGGTAATTTATCTAAACGTCAGAAATTTCTTACTTCCTTATATCCTTAATTCCTGTATTCTCAGTGCTGGGCTAAGTGTCATGTATCATGTGTCTATGTTATAGCACACAGATGCTTGTTGAATAGACATATCTACCTTTGAGCTAGACACAGTATAGATAACAAAGTTAAGTATGTCATGACCAGCGGGTTAAAGGAGCTTTCAATCTAATAGAGAAGAGAGGACAAATTCATGAATATTATGCCTGAACTTCTGGCTGAAAGGCAGAGAGAGAATACCTCTCATTTCTCCTCATCAAGAAGATACTTGTTTGGATTTCAAGTAACCACATTCTGTTTCTGTTCCTTGTTTTTTGTCTATATCTTCCGCATTAATGAGGAAA